CAAGATAACCAGGTCGTGGGTATTACCCATGGAATGTGTTCATGCTGATCCTAAAGACAGTTGGCTCTCTCAAGAGCAGGTTGTTGCAAAGCAAGACCACCCAATGCTTCTTGGCCACTTCTGGAGGTTTCTTTTCTATTTCTCCACAATGATGTGATGTAGCCAGGATACTTTTAACAAGATGTCAGCATAATTCTCTTTAGACCCTTCTAAATCATGACCCAAATAAATCTCTTTGCTCTATGAAGTATTTCAAATATTTTTCATATAGGAATAGAAAATAGGCTGATAATAAGCAGAAGGACTCAGATTCTTCTTTCTCCTAAGTAAAAGAGTAGGGTAGTAGGCAGAGATAACTATTCAGACATAAGGATATTACCACTGCCTTTGTCTATTTCCAAGCCTCTAAAGCCTGGTATTCCTGTTCTAGAGCTACATTCTTTGTTCCAGGCCCTGTTGACCCAAACTTTGGACCCTTAAAGTCCTGCCAGTACCTTCTCCTCGGCAGCTGTCCTGCAGCCCACATTACCCTTTCCTGGTTCCACCCCTGCCTCCTGACTTCCTCCAGGCAAACTTTACTTGTACCAGGCTCCTATCCTCTGTACACTGACTTTGCAAAGACAGTTTTAAATCTTGCAGCTGCCAGCAGCTGTCTGCTTCTGGAATGATACAAAAGCCATGATTTCATCTGGAAAAAACACAGGGAAGAAACTGCTTATGTTAGATAAGCCACATGGCAGTTACCACCCCTGGCTGTTAGTGACTCATAAGAAACAGTCACTGTTTTACAATGTTGGCTGGCTAGATTTCCTGGGCTCACATTTTAGGGACCTCCCTCCCGAGGGGGATTATACAGTCTTTTTTTATCACATGATCCGCAGTTTTACAGAGATATAGAATATTCCTTAACATTGAGATACCTGTTACTGACAAATAGCTTTTTTGATTGGCAATTATTACAGTTAGCTTATTTTTTAAAAGTAGAAATTGCTGGGTGCCGGTGGCTCAGGCCTGTAATCCTAGCTACTCAGGAGGCTGACATCTGAAGATCATGGTTCAAAGCCAGCCTGGGCAGGAAAGTCTATGTGATTCTTATCTCCAAATAACCACCAGAAAACTGGAAGTGGCGCTGTGGCTCAAGTGGTAGAGCGCTAGCCTTGTGCTAAAGAGCTGAGGGACAGTGCCCAGGTCCAGAATTCAAGCCCCATGACCAACCAAAAAAAAAGTAGAAATCGATCATTTCCAATAGGTATAGATAGACAAGTGCTACCAAACCTGGTGTGTATTACAATGATAAACTTTGTACTCTACTAGATCTATAAATTTTCAGTAACTAACACAGAATGGTGTTGGCACAAGGACAGAAGACCTTAATCCATTCTTCCCTCTTGACTTACATAGCCCCCACAGGCCCTCTGTCCCAATACTGCTAGAATGGCAGTCACATTTCAATATGAGTATTGGAGAAAGAAACAATATCCAATTCGTACCACAGGCCTGCACCTGCCAAGATCTTTTTTTTTTTTTTTTTTGGTCGATTGTGGGGCTTGAACTCTGGGCCTGGGCGCTGTCCCTCAGCTCTTCAGCTCAAGGCAAGCACTCTACCACTTGAGCCACAGAACCACTTCCGGTTTTCTGGTGGTTTATTGGAGATAGGAGTCTCACGGACTTTCCTTGCCCGGGCTGGCTTTGAACCGCAATCCTCAGATCTCAGCCTCCTGAGTAGCTAGGATGACAGGTGTGATCCACAGGCACCCAGCCTGCCAAGATCTTTGTTCCCAAGGAGGGAACTTCACATCTTGACTACCCATCATTGGGGTTTAACTCTAACACAGACATGCATGTGTGGGTATGTATGCCAGTGCTGTGTGTTTAAGAAAACCATATGTACTATAATAGCAGTGTTTATCAGACTCCAGATAGTGGAGACCTCCCTCCCAGAGTTTTGTTATTTGTCACTACCTGAATGTTAATGTTTTCTTTAACTGGCTTTTTAAGCTTGGTAAAAATAACATTTTTGGGGTCCGTGTGTGTGTGTGTGTGTGTGTGTGTGTGTCAGAAAGGCAAAATTTACTTCTGTGCGGAAGGGTGTCCCATTGACAAACGGGCACCAAAAATAACATGTTTTAGGGGAAAAGAACTATATTTCAGTCATAATAGAAATCTTGTTTCATGAAAGGGACAAAATGCAATGAAACAACAACAGGAAAATGGTTTAAATACAGCAAGCTGCTGTGCTTGCTCCTTTGAGGATCAACAGAGCCAGGCCCTGCTCTCAGGAAGCAAGTTAGAAACCTGTTACCTCGTGAAGACATTCTTCCTAAAGTGAAAGAGGATTCAAAGATAACAGAGAAAAATGAACTTTCTCCCAAGACACTGTGAGTTACCAGAATCGTCTCGCCACATTTAAAGCCTTGTATTACTGCCATTAGTACATCCAGTACTAAGCGCTAAAGAAGCTGGTGTTACTTGATCAGCTGATACAGGATTTAAAGAAAACCTTGTAGCCATTTCTTCACTCTGTAACATAGCCCTCTGAGAAACATGGTGTTTCCATTTTACAGATGAGCAGACTGAGGCTCACAGATGTGGAGCTTGTTCAGAATCACATAGCAAGGAAGGAAGGAACAGAGCCAACTGGTTCTGTCTGGCCTTATATCAATACTTTAAACTAGCAGGACTTGCTGTCCAAAGGGCCAGAATCCCTTCTGTAATGGAACTGAGTTCAGCTAGGTCTGTTTGTGTGGTACTTGGCACTACTGACCAATCCCAAGACAGTCCTGGGGTGTTCCAAAGGCAGAATCGTTTCTCAGGCCAGGCCTGTTCCCTTTGGAATGGAGGCAACTTCAGAGAATGCAGCACTGCCTTTTAGGTGGAACGTATCTTATGGTTCGAGGCTTAGGTTTGGCCTTTGCCTGTAGCAGTGGCCTAAGCTAGGAAGAGAAGTTGGCATTGTGGGGAGGTTTCCAGTGAGCTTTCCTTCGCTGGCCGGTCTGGAGCCTTTTTCCTCTTCATCAAGGAGGATGCCTGTCCCTCAAGAGGAAGACCACCCTCCAGCGGCTCATGGCCCTCATGTCCCCACTGTCCTCTGCAGGGCCCCGTGACTAGGTCCAGACCTCCGCCTCACGTTAATGTATCCAGCCAGCACCTTCTGACCTGATGTCCAGGGTTTGCCCAGCACTGTGTAGGGAGGGAGGAAGAGGAGCTACTGCCATTCCGACTTCGGTGGAGATTTGAATCAGCCTATGTTGGCTCTCTAGTCCAAGTTACCTATCACAGCCTCCCATTTCCCCACCTCCAAAACAGGCCAGCACTTGCAGAATTCCTTGAAGAGACACAGATAAATGCCACTTAGGGTTCATCGAGTGATGAACCAAGGTCAAGGAGCATTGTTACTGAGTTCTGGGGAGGGCTTTGCATACCAAGCAGCTATGGCCACCTCCTTCGTGACATGGTTGGAGATACAAGAGCTGTAGGATTCAGAAGAAAGAGAGACCCACAGGAGGCTCAAGACAATGGCTTGTCCTGGGAGAAGAACGGCCACTCACTGTCCAAAACCAAAAAAAAGAATCAGATGAAAGGTGGGAAAGACAGTCCCCACCCTCTCCTGCTGCTGCTCTGCCTCAGCCCAGCCCAGCCCAGTCCTGAGAACTGGCAAGGGACAGGAGCCACTGCCTAGCTAAAAAATAGCCACCAACGACCCCTGTGGCTCAACAACCTGCAGAGCCAAGGACGGCCAATCTCTGGAACCGTCCTCCCACCTACCCGGGTGCCATTCCTTGCAGCCTTCCACAGAGGGAAGGGTCTGTCTGTCCTAAGGGGAGAGCTGGCTCACAATGTGCAAGGGCTTGGACATGACCAAGTACCATGCATGTGCAGAGCCTCAGGTCTGACCCCTAGCACTTCCCACTCCCTCCAAAGCAAGTAGAATCCATGAATGGACAAATGGATGAACAGAATGTGGTCCATACGCACAATGGTATGTATTTCCACCTAAATAAAGAAATTCTGACACTGCTACAACACAGATAACCCTTGAAAATGGTAAAAGATTTTATGTAGACACAAAGGGACAAATACTATATGATTCCACTTAGACAGGAAGTTCATAAGGACAGAAAGAAGACTGATGGGCCAGAGAATGTAGTGTTTGATTGAAACAGAATTTCTGTTCTGTGAGATGGAAAGACCTCTAGGATAGACGGTCACCCAAAATTGGGATGTATTAATACCACTGAACTGCACACTGGAAAATGTCTAAAGAGGTAATATATATAGAAAGAGGGGGGGAGAGGGAGAGGGAGGGGGAAGGGAATAATATATATGGCCATAAACCCTCTAAAAGGTGCAACATTAGAAGCCTCTAGTCAGCTTTCCACTGGTCTTCCCAAGGCCAGTGTTCCTCCAGGATTGGTGCAACATCTGGGGTTGAATGTCAGATCAGTTTTAAGGTAGTTAGCTATCAGACAGAAAGTACAAAGCATATCTCCTCCCCCCAGACTCAGGCCCAGCATAACAAGAAAACAGGACCTGTGAGAAAGTAGCAGGTCCTGATAGGGCTGGCTTATGGTCTGTGGTATTTAAGTAATGGACTCTTGCTATGTTGGTAAAGAAAGGTGGACCTGAAAAGGCTTTACCACACTCAGATCAGAGTTCCCACCTTCCAGGCCTAGGACCCAGTGGGGCTTAAGTAGATATTTGTAAAGCCGGAGTGGTTTAGCCACATCTTAGTTTAAAATCCTTTAATGACCAGGATGTACTCTGTACTTCTCTTGGATTTGGCACAGAAACTAATGCAGTGCTGGGCACAAAGAAAATGCCTGTTAAGCCATTGAATGAATACCTTTTGTAGATAAAAGGGTTCCACGAATTTGTACTTGCACCTTGTGCCTTCTCCATGTGTTCCCAGGCCAGCCTGTTGGCAGACACAGTGTTAGTGCCTTGCGACCCAGGTTACCAGGTTACCCAGGTTACCCAGGCCAGGTTACCCTGGAACTAGTTAGTAGGCAACTAGGACACCAACCCCTCGTTAACCTCCATCAAAGCTATCCATCAGTGTCTTCACTGTGACGCTTCAGATGCTGTATGCATGTGTGCACGCGGTGGGAACAACCTGAACGTTCACCATTCGAAACCAGTCACCTAAACTAGGACACATCTGTGCTGTGGACACCCAGCATCCAGTATCATTCTACTGGGGACAAAATGGTGAAGAGAGAAAAACAAAGGTGGAGAGTGAACAATTTCCAAGTGTAAATGTACGAAGACAACGAGAGAGTTATTCTGAACTCCTGAAATATCATAGTGAAACCCCACTACAAACTAAAAGAAATGAGGAGGGAGGGAGGTAGAGGAGAGGGCAGGAGGGGGGATGGGGAGGAGCGGGGAGGAGGGGGAGTGGCGAGGGGGAGGAGGGGGAGAAGCCAGTCTGACCAGCAGAACTGGAGAAGGCTAATGAAGAGGATAGATGAGGGTGGATTTGGTTGATGTAGTTCATTTGCATGATGACAATGGAACAGTGAAATACAACAGTGAAAGCAGAACACAATACAACTAATGTGTGCTATTTAAAATAAAAAAAGATAGCTGAGTGCTGGTGGCTCAAGCCTGTAATCCTACCTATTCAGAACACAGTTCAAAGCCAGCCCAAGTAGGGGGTCCAGGAGACTCTTATCTTTCCAGTTAACAAGTAGAAAGCCAGAAGTGAGGGTGTGGCTCAAATGGTAGAGCACTGACATTGAGCAAAACAATCTAAGGGACAATTCCCAGGCCCTTCCCCCTTACTAGCACCAAAAAAAATTATGAAACTATGTGAAGTTAGTGAAAACGTCACTTTACAAAATGACGTTGTATAGTTTTGTCTGATTCATACAAATGTGTACATGCATCTTCAGCATGTGTGTGTGTGTGCCAGAAACCATGACAGCAGCTTCACCTGCAGCCATGCACACCTGCAGGCCCCTTATAGACCTTTGGAATTGGAAACTCTGGGCTCTGGCCCTATCTGTGTTTTTGTTTGTTTGTTTGTTTGTTTGGGTGTATTTTGGGCTTGAGCTTTGGGCCTGAACACTATCCCTGAGCTTCTTTTGCTCAAGGCTAAGGCTCCACCACTCAAGGAGCCACAGTTCCACTTCTGGCTATTTTGGGGGGTAGCTTATTGGAGATAAGAGTCTCACTTACTTTACTGCCCAGTCTGGCTTTTGAACCCTGATCCTCAGATCTCAGCCTCCTGAGTAGCTAGGATTACAGGCGTGAGCCACTGGTACCTAGACATATCTGAGTTTTATCAAGCCACCAGTGACTCTGATGTCTCCCTGAGTTTGAGTAACACTGGTTGTGGCATCTTTGATGCTTTTCCTTCCCTTGGACTTACCCATTTCTCTTTTCCAGGCCCTGATTCAGCTGCCTCCATATATTTCTCAGTGTGATGAGGTGCTGCAGTTCTTTGAGACAAGGCCTGAGGACCTGAATCCCCCCAAAGAGTAAGTTTCTCTGTGGACTTCCCCAGGTGGAACCCTTACCACCCTCCCTCCTTCCAGTCCAGCCAGATTCACAAGGAGCTAGAATCAAGCAGGGTACCTTTAAAGAATAACTTCTGTACACCTAGAGTCACTTCCCTGTCTTTAAGAAAAGGAAAGACGGAAGGAAGGACAGAACGGCAAGGAAGGAAGGAAGGAAACAAGGAAGGAAAAAAGGACTGGTTGGTGAGGGCCTTTGGGTAACTCTGAAGCCACAGCTAGAAGTCTCAGTTGAGCTCCACTTGTTGGTTTGAGGGTGATGAAACTTCAAAGACGACCACCAAGGGGTTAAGGCTTGAAGTGGGGACTGTGGGGTCGTTCCTGGCCAGCGTGGGGTGGTAGGCGAGGACATGGTGGCATCTGGCTGCTGACCCTCAGAATGCCCTCTCAGCCTCTTAGGGTGTCAAGCTCCCTGCCCCCACCTGAAGGCACTGCCAAACCCTTATACCTGATGGGCACAACCGGGACCTGAAAATCAGATTATACATTTCTGCAGAGAAGAAGCACAAATGACCAGTAAACATAACAAAAGATGCTCATCTTATTTGCCACAGGAAATATGAATCCAGATAAAGATTCCACAGATTTGCACCATCAGAATGGCCACCATCAAATGGTCAAGGATATAGAGAAATTAAAACTTCATATGTTTTCATGGCAACATAAGATGGTACCCTTACTGTGGAAAAGTCGGGGAGTACCACAAGAAGTTAAAGTTGGGGGCTGGGAATGATTGCCAGTGTGCTGGAGCACTTACCAGGTTAAGAGAAAATTAAGAGGAAGCTTTTCTAAGAAGGCTAGATCCCTGGGGTAGGCTTGAATTTCATTTACTCACTGACAAAGTCGTTGGATGACATCTGTTTCCTAATGGAAGACTTGTGTCAGTTCATAGCAAGACTCATTGCTTTCTCTTGTACCCTTCTTTCCTGTATAGAGAGCACACTGGAAAAAAGAAATCTGGTAAGTATATTTTCCATTTTCTTCATTTCAGTGTTCTGAATATTCTTACTCTGCATCTACCCTATGCCAGGTGCTAGGTTCCACCCTGGAGACTCAATAATGTGGATGGATGAGTGGATGGGTGGATGGATGGATGGATGGATAGATGGACGGACAGATGGATGGATGGAGGGACGGATGGACGGACGGACAGACGGATGGATGGATGGATGGATGGGTGGGTGGGTGGGTG